TGGTAAACTTTTGATTTCAGGTAGCCCCATAAAAGATCACACGTTGACAGGTCCGGGGAGCGAGGGGGCCATGGAATATCGCCATGACGTGAAATGAGACGTCCTGGGAATTTTTTTCGAAGAAGTTCCATCGAAGTGCGAGCTGTGTGGGACGTTGCCCGTCTCCTTGGAACCACACTGTTCTGATACGGACACGTCCGACGTCGAAGTTCCGGAAAAAAAAGTGGTTCAGCATGTGTATGTAATGATCTGAATGAAGTAGTTGTTTCTCCATCATCTTCAAAAAAATAAGGGAAAATTATCATCGTTGGGCCTACTGCACACCAAACTGTAACTTTCTGGGTATGCTGGGGGTGCTCATGCAACTGTTGAGGGTTCACTGGAGACTAATATCGACACTTTTGTTTATTGATGTATGCATGTAAATGAAAATGTGCTTCATCACTCATAAACAACGTCATGTCATTGTTATTCAACTGTTCAATCATGAGCTGTGCAAAATTAACAAGTTGTGCATAAACCCCTGGCATCAGTTGTTGATAAACTTGAATTTGGTACCGATCCTTCTTCAAGATGGGACGTACAGAGGACGCGTGGATCCCTAGGGAATTGGCACGCAAACGGACGGAACGATTCGAGCTTTGCAGCGTGTCAACTCTCACTCTGGCGGTTTTTTCTTCATCACATTACCTGTTGTGTTGAATGCTTCCACCTATCTCAAAATGGTGTTACGGCCTGGTACTGTCCCACGACGTGGAACATGAAAGTGAACGCGAAACTCACGTTGTGTTCGAACGACAGATTCGCCATTTTGAAAGTACCGACGTACAGTGAACACACGATGCTCAACGTTCCAAACCATCTTGCCAACAGAAACGGTGCTTCACCCACTATATCTTAATCTTAACATGTTTTCGTCCAGTCATGTCGCTCTTTTTCGTTCATCTGTCTGTCAGTCCAGCTATAACTTGGAAAGTACTGGTCAGATTTTGATGGAATCTCGGCACGTAATTAGTACTATGCCAAGGATAAAAAAGCTTTGTTGATTTCTATATAACCATATAAATCAATAAGTTCTGACGTCTTGGCTACGCAGCAAATAAGTATCACAATCCATAATAAACAGTGAATGATCAAAATAAATGATAGTGTACAAAGTTTTAGATAGACCAAGGATCAGTGAGCAGGCAGACAGGCCGTGGAAAATGACATCTAAAAACATATAACATTTTCTAAATTCTTCGCTAGTGGTCTGAGCGATGATGAATGAATCTTGAAATTAGAGGCATTCCGGCCACCGTAAGGAGCCAGTGCATAGGCCGCTTAAGCGGGCCCTTATGCACCTCTACAATCCTTAAATCACAAACCTCGCCCTTTTAGCGAAGTTGAGAATCGCCATGAGTCCAAGCTCCTTGACGTCCTGAGGGTCCAAAGTAATGGATCCCAGTATAGTCTGCCTATAGTAGCTCAGAGCTTCACAGCGACACAAAACGTGCACCGAGGTCTCTTCCTCTACTCCGCAGCGTTCACACTAGGGATCCTCAGCCACCCCCATCACGTGAAGGTGACGCCTTAACGTGTTATAGCCAGACAACAGTCCCACCAGCAACCTTAGGTTGGCTCTATCCAGAGATAGGCAGAAGCGTCCATCCTTAGCACTGGGCCCTTCAATGAGTTCCCGTGCCTGGCGTAGATGTCTGGAGATACTTCTCCATTTCTGAGAGTGTTGTCTTGCAGCCCACGTCTCCATTTTCCTCTTAGCTTTATGCGCGGTCACTCCTAGAGCTGGCTCAGGACCAACGAGCTTGCTGGCTGATCCTGTTTTCGCCAGAGTGTCTGCCGTCTCATTGCCCCTTATCCCAGCGTGCCTAGGTAGCCATATTAACGATACCGGATGCCTCGCTGCGAGGCAATCCAGAGCCTCCCTGCATTGCAATACAAGACTCGAAGTAATCTTACAGGCACTTAGTGCTTTCATTGCAGCCTGGCTGTCGGATAAGATTGTTATTCTTCTCCTAGGCCCACCCTCCTCCAGAATGTGAGATACACAAGCCAGAATCGCAAAGATTTTCGCCTGGAAAATAGTGGTGTATCCACCGAGAGGCAGAGATCTAAGCCCTCTTCGGTGATCGAGCCGTCCGTGTACCAGACCTGCCCGCTCACTTCGGAGAGTCTCCGGCTACCGGCGTCCCACTCCTCCCTCGTTGGATACTCCACAATAAACTTGCGGTTGAAGCGATATTTAGGGGTAATACGATCACCCCTGCTTAGAAGGACGCGGTCCTCCCTTTCTAATTCGACTAAGATGGCAGTATGCCCCTTGACAGGATTCAAGATAGCCCAGCTGAGCAATAACCTGCACCTAAAAAGCATTTTTGAGGCCGATGCCTGTTGGTACAGCAGAAAAAATGGGGTACAATGAAATAGAATGCTGAATGAATAGGAAAGACGCAACACAAAGTATGCTTCATTGTTGCCAAATGTGAAAGATTTACCACACCTTCTGTTGTGCTAACTGTAACGCAGAAAGTCTATAATTTTGGGATCGACCCGAATGAAAATACGCTTTCACTTTTTTCTCACTCCTGCCTCGCATCCTTTTTCCTGAAATTCATCAACGTGCCTGTAGGATCTGACGCGGAATAACTCAAAAAAGCAATCCGGAACTTATTGAATAGATTCGTCTGTCGATATATCTATTTTTAACGCATTCAAACGCGCTGCGGATAAAAAACGGGCGCAGTCAAAGTTTGTTTGGAGTTTGCGTACGGTCGATTTAAATATAGAATAACAAATAACTTAACCCATGCCAAACGTTCATGTTCTCCTGATGCTTTTTTCTCTTATATAAATTACATGCTGGCAGCTCAACTCTATTACGTCTTATAGATTGACGATAGTTCTGGTAAATATTAGGGTCGGGATGAACAGCCCCAGAAAATGGTGCAGATCATCTTATGAAGGAATTAGTAGATATACAGGGTGTTCAAGGTGAGAATCCTATGTATGGGAATCTCAATGCCTGCTTAGGTTGAATTAGGCAAAAGTTGCGTTGGCGTATTTACATACCGTTAAAAACGTTGTAAAAGTTTCATGGCTTATTGACATATTTGGGAAAAACTAAAATTTGGCAAATCATTTTTGTTTTTTCTGACTTTATCTTAAAAAATATCAAGAAACTAATGGAACCTTTAATTGGCACTTTTTATTCACTACATGGTGGTGAGTTTAATTTTTATGCCTGGCGGTTCGTTTATGAGAAACCTACATCAACTTTATTTTTTATATGATCCGAAGAAAAAGTACACCCTGTATCTAATAGCATTTGTTCATATGAATTCAACGATGTACAATGTTACATTTATTTTACGTTTTTTCTAATTTCTTGTTAGTAGGCTTAACTTGACGTAAATATCTGTCACCGTGTATTGTAATTGTTGTGTATTGTTAATATTGCTTTATTATTACCAAAGATGCCAGGTGGTCATTTAAGCAATGAAGAAAAGTTCGAACTGCTGACGTGCTACATTTTGTATTACAAAAATAGTAAAATTGCTGCAGAAATGTATGTTAATAAATTTTCCGAAAGAAGGCAGCCAAGTAAGTCCGTTTTCTCAGAGCTGGCTCGAAATTTAAATGAATATGGTTCATTCGAAAAGCCTGTAATGTCTCGAAAAAAAATAATCTTTAGTGGAACGTCAGCATATTGTTTTACAGACAGTTGCTGAGAGCTTTGACATATCAACTAGGCAAGTTGAGAAAAATGTAGGGGCAGCCAAACCTGCAGCCCAATTTATTTTGCGTAAAAATAGGTATCACTCCTATAAATTCAGGATTTTCCAAGGACTTGACTAGGGGGATAGCGAACGGGATCAACATTTTTGTGAGTGGCACTCATTACAGAGCTCAAAAATATCCGCAGGCTAAAAAGTATCCAGACATCAAGACCGTTTTGAGTTTAATATTTGGTGTGGAATTCTAGGGACCAAAAAATTAATATTTATTTATCACGTCTCATTAGAATCAGAACGGTACTTTCAATTGTTGCAATATGCTCGAGAAGAGTCTACCTGGATAATTTACCTTTGGCACTGGTTAACAGCTGTTGGTTTCAACAAGACGGTACTCCTGTACATAATTTTCGGCAAGTTCGAGAGTATCTTTCTCAGCGATTTCCTGAAAGATGTATTGGAACCTCCAGTGAAGTGTCTTAATCAGAGCGTTCCCAGGATTTAACTCCTGTCGACTTTTTGTTCTCGGGTTTTACTAAAAATCAAGTTTATTAGCATGCCTTTGAAACTGAGCAGCAGTTACGAGAATATGTAATGGCAGCATTTAGTATGATTACATCAGAAATGTCACGTAGTGTTTTGAATTCTACTGTTAGAACGTCATGTTTATGTTACTTACTACTTAAAAAAATCAGAAAAACTCATTTCTTTCTCATAACCAAGAAAATAAATGTAACATGTGATACATCATTGAATTCGTAGAAAAAGATACAGAGTATACTTTTTATTCAGACCGTATGAAAAAATAAAGTTGCTAGTGGTTTCTCAAAATTTAAAAACGTCAGCACGTATTGCCTAAAAGCAGCTGATGCAAAACATTGGTTTTTTGATATTCCTTAAGATACTCAGAAAAAAGTAAAGGCGATTTAGCCAAATTTTAGTATTTCCCAGACACCTTAGCAGGCCATGAAATTTTTACAAGTTCCTCAACGGCATGTAAATACGCCCTAAGGAACGCAACTTTTTCCAAACTTAACCTAAGCTGTATGTCCCGCAGGTATTGAGATCCTCATGCATAGGATCCTTATCTTGTACACATTAAAAATACAGATTATTTCATTTATATAATTTTTATCTACGAAATAATAGAGCTCCACTAGCTGTTCATCTTACATTTAAAAAGTATCCTTTAATAAGCTCAAAACGCCAATTGCTTCCATCAAAACATGAACATCAATCAAAATCTGCAAATTTTGTGGCCATCCGTACCTCAATCGCTTCTTCATACTGTATCAACGGTTTTTGAATTCTTTCTTCTCGTAATAAAAGTTCTATAAAACCGGGGTCACCCACTACAACCTCTCAATATTCACACATAAAAAGTTCAACAGACTATTGGCCAACATATATGGCACATTTCATTCAACAGGTTAATATACTTGACTCAATGTATGTACGTAGATACAGACAATGATTAATGAGTCTACATTCTATTACCACACTTTTTCTCACTGTTCTGTCATCTTAACCTATATCTCAAAAACATGAATTCCAGAAATAATTTAAGTCTAAGTGTTAGTGTAGTTTTACACCATCATCTTTAGAAGAAGATGCCATACTTTTTGTACATTGTAAACGTCTTTTAATTTGGGCGAAGCTTAGCTTTAGTTATTCCTCCACTTAACTCGTACAAAAATAAATACAATCATGAATAATATATAGGGTGTTCATTTGAAAACTTTCCGCCACGGATTTATCGAAAACGACTGATTAAAAGAGAAAACGCCGAAACACGTCAAAAGATTTGTCAAGGGGGACAATTATTTAACCAAAAACTACAAATTACTACAAATTTTAAATGTCAAGGGGTATCAAGTAATAACTTGTTTGAAAGGCCTTTCAAAGTCCTTTATTTTGTCTTTTGATTTTTTTAAATCAGTCAATTATTTTCAGAAAACAAAAACACACGAAAATATGACCTTTTATTTCAATAAGTGTTCAAAATGTTGCCCGTTAGGGTTTGCCAAATCCACAATTCGTTCACAATTTTAAACGGAAACTACCAACATAAACAGCAATTCAGAAGATTAGATGTGGCAAAAATAAAATAACAACCCGAATTTTTTTCCGCATTTTTTTATCAACAAAGATAATCTGAGCGAATTGTATTTATTGTTATAGCTGTTTTCATTGCTCCAATCCCTGCAGTTATGCTTATTATTAGATATTCAGCACATATTCTCTACATGAATGGTATTATCATTAATCGCTGCAGTCATTTATTCCCAAAACTCAACTCGCCTATCGAAATCATCTTCGGTTAACTCTTGCAATATTTTCGTTTTAAGTGGAAGAAATTTATGGAGTTTAGTAGCTGCATATACAGAGTCTATTGAAATACTGTCTATATGCTGATGATACTGCTTTTCTTGTAACAGGTGGAGGTAGTCGTTCAGGTTCAGGCGATACTGTGATGTAATGAAAAATTATTCCGCAGCCAATCGTCTGGTCTTGAACAAGAATAAAGCTGAATTACTGTACTTATTAAATGTTGTGGCAGTAGTGTTAATCAAAACACGCATTTTAAATACCTGGGTATTTATTTTGACTCACATGTCTAAGCAAGTAGATGTTGCTCTAAAATTAACAACTCACTGTTTTATATATATATATATATATATATATAGGGTGGCCCATCCATGTGTGGAATATTACTCATAAACAAATACATTTTGGGCAAATCTGTTTACGGGATGTTATACACGACATTTGAGGGTATATTTCTAAAATATTGGTCATTATACAGGGTATCCCAATTTCGACCTACATATCAAAGTTATGATTATTCAAATGGAATGCCTCAAATTTTATTGCATATTTGGATAAATCAATTTAAAAGAAGAAAATTGATATAACATTCTATGGGGTTTTGGTAATTAGCTACTGAGATATAAGGTGTATTCTCTAGAAAAAAAAACCCAGTGCTGAATTTTGTATAAAAAAAAAATTACACACCTCAGCTTTTATAATATTTGCTACTTTTTCGAATTTTAATTTTTGCTCATTTAGGTTGTTCAAAAACGCAAATTGTAGTTTTTCTCAAAAATTTCAAATGGATCGCCCTATATATTTGTGCAAGTTTGGATACAGTTTTTTATAAGCTTTTTTTTGTATAAGGTTTGATTCAGATATAATCACTTGATTTTGAGTTATTAAGCTTTTAATAGAACAACACACCGAAACTATGAAAAAAACTCACATCATCTATAGAAACAAAAGACAAACAGTGGGATAGTTCCATATTGCCACTAAGAGTACAGATTTGATTTTGGAGGATGTCAGCGAGCAAACTTGGATGCATAGCTATTTGGACATCTGGAGTAACAATCGTTGGATTGGTCGTGATGGGCCTACATCTTGACCTCCTAGATCACCAGATATGACACCGATGGACTTCTTTCTATGGGGCTACGTTAAGCAAGAGGTCTATAGATATCCACCATCTACCACGGATAATATGAAGGAAAGGATTAAGGACGCTCTTCTGAACATAAGGGCATACATGCTGAGGGATGTGCCATGGTCATTTATCTAAAGACTACGGCTGTGTATTCAACATGGTAGAGATATTTTCCAGGAGTTTTTGTAGATTAGGTCTTAAGTAGTGATTGCTGTTTGTTTATGTTGTTGCTATAGTTGTTTTTCTCTATTACGCTTGAAGCTGATTTATACTGTTCTGATTGCTATTAGTATTTACCTCAAATCTGAACTCTTAGTGGTGTTTGCCTTTTGTTTTTAAAAGCTTATTAACTCAAAATCTAGTGATTTTATCTGAATCAAACCTTATACCAAAAAAAAGCTTATAGAATATTGAATCCAAACTTGCACAAATATATAGGGTGATGTATTAGAAATTTTTGAGAAAAAGTACAATTTGCGTGTTTGACCATCCTGTATGAGCAAAAATGAAAATTGGAACAAGTAACGAATAATATAGAAGCTGAGGTGCGTAATTTTTTTTTTAATATAAAATTCAGCACTCCAAATTTCAAAATGAGGGGTTGCCGAAGTGAACGGTTTTTCTGGACAAAACACCTTACATCTCAGTGGCTAATTACCAAAACCTCATAGTATGTCATATCAATCTTCTTCTTTTGAATATTTAAGAAATATGCCCTCATATGTCATGTATAACATGCAATAAATGGATTTTCTCAAAATGTATTTGTTTATGAGTAACATTCCGTCCACACATGGATGGGCCACTCTGTGTATATATTTATATATATATATATATATATATATATATATATATAATGTACTACTAAATGGATTTTCTCAAAATGTATTTGTTTATGAGTAATATTCCGTCCGCACAAGGATGGGCCACTCTGTATATATATATATAATGTACCACTCTATGCCCTATGTGTACTCTACACTCAACACTTCATGATAAGGAATGTCCTAAAAGTTTTGGCACAAAAATTTATCGGATTTGGTTCAATGAAGAAATTTATTTAAACACTGACTAGTTATCATAAATTACAACTCGATTGTAAAGTAAGTAAACAAACTTTCGTTTCCAAAGGCAACTTGATATTATTTTGTGTTTGTTAAAATTAAAGCCAATGAATTTTGTGCCAAAACTTTTAGGACATACGTAATGCTGGGGTAACTGTACCAGAGCCAATAAAATATTCTCAATTCAAAAAAGAATATTGAGAACCATACTTGGCAAAAAGGTAAGATACATTCATGCTGTACACTGTTTAAAGATTACAATATTATGACAGTTCATTTTCTATACGAGTATATCTTCAATTGCATTGTTTATGTGAAGAAAGACATAATAACATAATTTTGTTCACTATGTATAACTTGCGTCCGAATCTCAACTTGAAACTTCCAGCACATAGGCACTTCAAGAGGACCTAAGTCATGGTCGTTGAATTGTACAGTATCTACCTGTCCATGTAAAAGAAATAAATACAGTGGCGGTATTATACTTCAATCATGATTTTTAAATGTGCTTTCACGATTATGGTTTGTACCTACTGGGTAATGTTATCTTGTTTGTTTTATACACTGTATGTCTTTGACTATATTCCTACATTACCTTTTAGTCCAATGGAAATAAGCATTATTTATTTATCAAATAGAAAAATATGAAAACTAAGAAGTTGCTCTTCATTGTTGAACAGACGCAAGCTTCCTGTATAAATGCTGCGAAATGCGAAAATGGAGAGGGGCAGAATAACAGATCGCACGCCGCTGTCAACGCGGCGTGTCTTTGTATCGATGCATGTTGTTCCTGATCCATTCAAAGATGTGCCATGTTAACAGTGGCGTACGGGTTGTTGAGTATAATAGCAACTCTTTTCCGTTTTGGTACCACACTATAAAATGTTACCGTGAACTTCGTACGGGACAAACCAAGCAAGCTTCTAGAATGTATCTCGTATATTATTCAGCACACAACAAAATCAAGAAACGTCATACTAACCTAGTACGTTGCGCTATTAGGAAACTCAGAGTTTCATTGGCGAAGTACCTCACACGCGCAAAAATCAGTGAAACTGAAAATAAAACTCACGATAGCGTGACAGGTTCTCGCGCGTCCTGGAACTGCACTGGCAACACACACAACACGCACACGTCAATGGGAATCGTCTCGAAAAATATCCTACTCGCGTCCAGGCTGCACGGTTTATATTTGGACCATGTCTAAATACAACTGCGCTCCTCTCTGGTACAGCCGATCCTTTCAAATGAATCCAAGGCTGAGATTAGAGGCCGACGCTTAGCGTCTGGATTAGCTGGAAAACGGGGATATGCACTGGAATTGTCAAGTAGCTTGACTACAGCATTTATGCATTCACGAAGGTGAAACAGTATAAGCACAGTATAGAGCCAGGAGAATCACTCAGACTAATATTTGTCAGATGAGTGGAGCTTTCGCGCAAGCAGAGTAGCACAAAAAACCTATTGAATGTCAAAAAAACCAACAAAATGTCAACTTATTGTAGACTAGTTTGTTTTCAGGGGGCAAATAGTTCATTCCACGTTTGCACGCTATGATCGCTGTGAGCGTCCATCTATGGAGGAATGACTCAACTACACGCATTGTTGGTTGCAAAAAACAAGTATATGTTTTGTGGAGCCGAGTAGTCTGTAGTGATTATCTCTGAGAAGATATGAAAGAAAGAAAGTTGGTTGAGTAGCAAGATCGGATTTGGATGATTATGTACATTGGTCTGCATGTGTATAAAATCAGTGATATTTGCAATGCGAGAAAATTATTACTGAATTTGCTTCCAATGAAGTATATCTATCAGCTGTGCCCGATGGGTTATTTATATATTGTCCTTTCTGTAGACAGGTTATAAATTACGATTTTTTCCGTTTTTTTCTGTTTTGAAAAACTTTTACACGTCACAGAAAAAATATGAATAGACACCACACATCAATCATTTCCGCAGTGCCTCACATTTAGGTGCTGATTTGTATTTTCTAATGACATCACAAA